AAGCGTTTTTCTATGTATTTTTATGTTAAACATTCAGACCCCATCGTGGCCCACCCTGCTCCCAGAAGAATTGGAAGTAACTTGACTCTACATTACTAGGGACTGCTTTCATGACTAAACATAGCTTTGCCGCTCTTGACAAAGACATTTCTAGAGATTTTTCCCTACATGTATGTTTTCCTGGTCACGGTAACCTTGGTGTAGAGCGTTGGCTTCCTGATCGGGAGTAACTGGTTCAATTCTTGTTCGTGGCGCCGCGTAAACATAGGTAGTTCCTGTTCTTTAGCTAAACGCTCGGCATCAGTAGTAAAAGTCACGGGTCTTTTGGATTTGACCTTAAAAACATAGGTTCTGTGTAACGTTAGGCGTTGGCACCTTAAAGAACCCACACTGTTCGATGGCCTTAAGTGCTGAGTATAGGTAGAAGGATATGGAGATTACAAGTAGTATTCAATCTCAAATTCCATAAACAAAACAAAAGAAGAACATAGCAAACGCGGACCTCCAAAACATCAGAGTTGGGATCAGGTGCCATGGGGGAGTGAGCTTCCCCCGCTTACTGGTCAGACCCACCGTGTTCTACTTTTTATCATGATCAGGAAATAACGGGAAAATCCGTCGTCAAGTGTTAATTATGGACTAATTATCAGTATGAAAAACGTACGTCAGCTTTTGACTCAATGAATGCTAAACTGTATTTGCTGACAAGGCCATGGTATCGACCATAAAACGAAATGATGACTTTAAATGAGAAGGCTGATATTCTTGTTTCATCAAGTTGCTTGTCAATAATTTACCTCGTTTTAGAAATTGTTCGTAGAGAAAGCCCTTGCATATCGAATCATCTGAGATATATACACTCAGTATGCATATGCATGTGGCCCGCCAAAATATGACTGAAATATTGCCGACTTGGCGTTAAATGAAATCAATCAATCATATGCATGTGATGAAGGTATATTGCTGCATAAGTAAGGGAAGTTGGCGATAGAAAAGTTTAAGTCATCACGTTTATCATATCCTGTCTTGTCTGTGCGTTTTGTTTTTAAAGAAATACGCAGGCACTTGCATTATGTCATTTAATGACCATCAATAGTCATAGTCGTGCGGAGAGCAACAGAAAAAAAGGACTGTCAGTAGTTTGAAATCAAATTCTTAATGATTATAAACAGAACATATAAATAATCAGTACAATTTATAATCACCCAATCTCCTATCCCAACTTCTACTTAAAAAAGAAAAAATACAATTATATTTGAAATGCAGAATAACAGATGTCAGATAAATGCAGTGCTTAAAATATTTTACAGTCTATGCACTCAACTACAGATATTTAGCAGAAAATGGCTCATTCGGTAACTTACATGTAGTTTACTATGATAATAATGTTTTCATAAACTTTCTGGCTGGTTACACTTTAGTCAAGTCAAGAGTTGAATTACTTAACATCTGAATATTAATCATGTGTTATTTTTTATACTTACATTTATGATGTAAGAAAAGAGTATTAACCGAAAAGGGTCTACTCCAAGAGGGAGTTCTGTCTCAAAAACATAAAAGAGAATTAATGGGAAGAGGATGACATCAATAAATCTTTTTTATTCTTACAGAATTTCACTTGATTGATGAGTGGAAGAATGACTGGAAAGATGCACTCATTTCCTTTCGAAAAGAGCATTATGCTTCTGCTGTCTTTCAACTTAATTCATTACTTGATTGAGAGGTCTCCTAGTTTCACGGGCCATGAGACGTAAAAAGTATGTATCGTATAATCACCCATTTACATGTTATAACAAGGTACTAAAACAAGATAATTCTTTTAAGGATTTGTTTATTAAAACTCTAGTCAAGTGATTGCTATTTTTGAATTGAAGCAACGTCATCGGATGCTTGGCTCGATCGATTGTTATGTATGATCAGTTTGTTATTGATTAAACAAAAAAAACGAAAACATTTCCCTTAAGATTCGATTTAAAATGAACAATTTATTATTTTATTTCTGTTTAATACCGAAATTGAGGTTTTTATTTCAGTCATCGCAGCGAGCATGTTCACTTTTATCACATAAGATATTGATCTACAAAGTCTACTAAATACAGTCAGAAAAGGACGACATTTGTGTAAGAAAATTTGCTACGAAATATGATTTTCTCGCAAATGATGAGAACGACGACGAATTGGAAAATATTTTTACTTTTCAGGAGGAAATATGATATACAATTACATGTAATCAATTCAATATACCAGTTACTTCCATATTCCATACAATTAATACAGATCGCCTTTTCATGTAAAAATAGTGTGTTGTTTTTTTTATATAATGGAACGACAAAAATTTACATTGATTTTTTTTAGATGATTATATTATATTATATAAAAAAATAAATATAATCATTGTATTCAGCTATTTGAGAAATTATTCAGTCTGAGGGTTAAAGGCCTAGGTGATTTTTAAATTTTAAAAAAGTAAATACGCAAGAGATATAAAAAGTTCCGTTTTTATAGGACGAATAAAGATTATATTAATATCACCCTCTCAATCAGCTTTAAAAGGTCGTCTTTTACACACAACAGACTTGGTAACCACGTTAAAAGGTGATTAAGTGTAAGAAAGATATGGAGATAATGAACAGTTTTCAATACCAAAGTCCATAAATTAGTCCACAAATAGAAGCACAACGTGTGCTCCTTGTCATGATCAGGAAATAACGCAAAATACATCGCCAATTCGGTATATAATGGACCAACAATAAGCATGAAAACTATCAGTCAGCATTTGACAGCATGTGATAATTGTATTTGTTGACAAATCATTGTATCGACCATAGAACTAACGAAAAGATGGCTTTAAAGGAGACAGCTGATATTCTTGTTTCATTAACTTGTTGGCAATAATTTACCATGTTTTGCACATTTGTTATACCTTTACAGCAAGCTCTTGCATATAGAATCAACTGAAATACTTTCGCTCCGTATGTATGTGTTGAAAGTATATTGCTGCATAGGTAAGGGAAGTTACGATAGAAAAGTAAAAGTAATAAGGTTTATCGTAGAGTTTGCTTGTTCGATTACCATTACCGTCTTTTTCAAGTAATATATCCAAGGATTAAACAGATGTGTCAGACTCTGTTGTATTTTTTATCCCAAGCTCACCAGGATATCTCGTTTCGACATAAGAATGAAAATTATATATGTTGATAGACAATAACTCGTGTATTTAAATGTCGATTTAAAGGCCTTAACAAGTATTTACTCCTTATTACGCATAAGATTTGGCACACATTCTGCTTTTTATAAATACAAAGATACGTATGTATTCTTTTCTGGATCATAACAAGGAGCACATGTACTTAACGGGTGTGGCTGCCTTAACAAAAACACTATAGTTAAGGCAGATAATAGCTTTGAGGGAAATAGCAAGAGACCAGTACCCCTCGACCAGGACTATTTATAGGCGCGTCAGGTTATAGTCCTGGTCCTGAGGACGCTGAATCTTGCTAACTCCCTCAATAATATACATGTACTTTAACTGTATAATAAAATGGAGTATTTAAATATAAATATGTTTTGAATACACAATATGTTAAAAGGTTTTTAAGTGAGGGAAAGATGCGAAATAATCATCAGTTATGTTTGAGGGAGTCACATCCGGATACAGAGAAGTGGATATTTCCGTTAAAACCCTAGTTCTCTAATATCAATTGTTTTTGACAAGGAAGAAGATATGTTTTTTTCATTGGATAGTCTTCATTAGCCCGTCAGAAAAACTACTCAGACGTTCTCTAGATAAAAAAATACATAGATTGTTTATCTGTTTTATTCACCCTAATTAAAAGCATAATCCAAGGAAAAATATTTTTTTTACATGAGTTTCAAATTGTTAATAAGTGTTTGACTAAAAATAATAAGTACGATGTTTTTGACAAATCTTGTTTTAAATTATTACTTTAAGTGTTGTTTTATCACTGTATAAATAATGTTAGCTGCAATAATGTAGCCCTCTCCGATTTTTTTTTATCTGATATTTTCTGGAGAGGGCAACAATTCCATCGCATCTCCGTAATGGTGCAAATATATTTTTTTGATACGGGTGATTGGAGGCAAAATAAATTATTTTTACATTAAACTTATTTTTATAAGAGGGGAATTTTTATTCACTGTAAAACAACATAGCCTGTTAAACTCGAAAACCATGTAAAATAAATCTGTGTCTTTCCCAGCTGCAATATTCAGCAGCCATGACAGTTCACGCGTGACGTAATGAGACTTTCGCTTGAAATTTGGAACAACCAAATAAAGCAAATGTCGATGTTTATAAACGATTGTGCTATAGTATTTAAAAAAAACATCGATAAATAAAACCATTTCAAGTGTTATTTTTGCGCAAACAGCGATACTTATGCTTAAAATAAGGGAATTTCTAGTAGATCCGCTTTTAAAGAACCTAAATTCTTATTGGCTGTCCCAAAATACAATCCATCAAGGTCAGTAAACATGGCGGATAAATTCAATTTAAAGCGTTGATACTCACGAAAAATAATTGATATATGGGTCTTTGTGAATTTTTTTTGGATCGATTTATGTTTTGCATAATTACTATTTGGATTCCACGTAAAAGATAATAATAAAATAGCCGTTTACTGATAATTTGAGCCAAAATCCGTGCGGAAGTGATCCATTGCCGTATCTTCGCCATTATAGACTTGGAGTTTTGTGCCTCCCCCCCCCCAAAAAAAAAATCGGAGAGGGCTACATTATTGCAGCTAAAATAATGTGTGAACAGTCATACGAATCAGAAAATAAAACATTTCTCGATAAGTGATGTTTTTTTTTTTTTAACTTAACATTATTTAAACAATCTATTTCCTTTATTGTTAGAACGGGAATGAATTTTGACCTTTTGCTAAAAAAAATACAACCAAACAATATTTTTTGCAATAGCTGTGACGTTAATTCACCTAAACACAATCAAAGAAAGTCAATTTATTTTTAATATTCACATTTAAATTAAGAAAAAAAGATAATTTTTTGCATGATTGGTACGTACATCATAGTAAGTTTCATTGATGGAACAGGCACTGATCAAGAATTCTGTGTAGGTAACATGCCTAGAACGAATAAACGCCAATGGTTTTCTAAAGAAATGAAGAGAAAAATAATAGGGGGGTTGTAATATATATTTTAATGAAATCAAAAACAATTATTTCAAAAAAAAAAATACAAAAGATGGAAAGCAATTTCTGGAAAAATTACAAGTTTCATATGTTGATATTTTTTGGAGATTTAAAGATTATGTTATGCAATTTATTATATTATTTTGATCATATTTTAACATATAATCAAAAACTTAATAGTAATCGGTATTTCCCCCGTCCGTCCGTTGTTACGCTTTGGGGTACCCATCTCTTGTCTGCAACTCCTCTCATACCACTGAAGGAAATTTAATTAACCTTTCACAGATTCTTAATTACATATTACCATTGTGCACCTGCTATTTTACTTTTTTATCTTACATATATTTTTGTTTTTCTAGAGCAAAAGATGAACACTGCCATTTTTATTCATATGGGAGGCTGAGGGTATCATTTAGTGAGTTCATTGCTCACAGTACCTCTAGTTATTCTTAAAGTTCATTCATTCATCTACATGTATTTATTGATATTTAAAAAAAATTAACACGTTTCCTTGTATCTTATCTATTAACATATTATTGGTAAATATTTGAAGACTTGGTTCAATGGTTATTCCACAGTTCAAAAATGTGAAATCGTCTTTTATTTTTAATTTATTTTTTTTTAATTTTATTTTTTTAATTTATTCTTGGCATTTCCACAGCATGTAATTAATAATACACACAACTTAATTAAGCGTTTGGACTAAAAAGTGTTTTTCCTTGTGATTATTTGTTACTACGATAATTGAGCTTTTCTCATTTATGTCAATATTTCCATCACATATGAAAGAATTATCCGTTTACCATTTTCTTAATTTTACTTGACTATCTCAAAGGAATCATTATTTTCCAGGTTTGCACAAAAGATCAAGAGGGTTGTCTGTATCCATCATAAGTTTCAATTTCCAAACACATATTTTAGTGGCGAGAAGGGAGGTGAAAAATTACAAAGATCTTCTTTTATGAAGTGAATATGCTTCCCTCATTTTAATTAGGTCACCTGAGTAAACTCAGGTGCCCTTTATTGCTATCTTTTTTCGTCTGTCGTCGTGTGTCGTGCGTCATGCGTCGTGTGTAAACATTTGAACATTTTCAGCTTCTTCTCTACAACCCCTCAACCAATTTCAGCCAATTTTGGCATAATGCATCTGTGGGTGAAGGAGAACAAAATATTTGAATTTAATGGTCCCTGCACCCCTGGGGCCTGAGGGGTGGGGCCAAAACCACTAAAATTAGTGCAATCTTTAAAACATATTTTCTCCTGTGTATCACGTAGTCAAACTGTTGGCATGATTATATATGAGCATTGAGTCCTCTACCAAAATTGTGAAATTCATGGCCGCAGGGTCATAGGTTTTAGTGCTAAGAGCGGAGCTATATAGATTATACAGTGAAAATGCGTTAATTCTATGAAAATCTTCTTCTCTGCTCCTGGTTATCAAATGAACCAACTAAGTACATAGTTATGATGAGCAAGAGAGATTCTACAAAAATTGTAAATTTTATGACCCTAGGGTCAGGGATTCTGGTATTTCGTCCTGGCTCTATTGATTATATAGTGAAAATGCATTAATTCTCAAAAAACTTCTTATCTGATTCTGGGTATTAAATTAACCAACTAAGTACATAGTTATAATAAGCAAGAGTGCCTCTACAAAAATTGTAATTTTTTTTGCCCCAAGGTCATGGTTTCTGGTGTTAGAGCGGGGCTCTTTTGATTTTATAGTGAAAATGCATTAATTCTTTAAAAATCCTCTTCTCTACCTTCTGGGTATTAGGTAAACTAACTAAGTACGTAGATATGATAAGCAAAGAGCCTCTACCAAAGTTGTGTGAATTTTATGGCCTCTGGGTCAGTGTTTCTGGTGTTAGGGCGGGGCTCTATTGATTATATAATGAAAATGCATTAATTCTTTGAGAATCTTCTTCTCTGCTCCTGGGTATTAAATAAACTAAGTACGTAGTTATGATAAGTAAGAGTGCCTCTACCAGTGTTAGGGCGGGGCTCTATTGATTTATTTTAATGTGAAAATACATTAAATCTTTGTAACAAAACTAAGCAATTGCTACGTGTATAGTTACATGTATGATGAGCAATGGTGCCTCTTTCAAAGTTGTGAATGCCATATCATCTAGCTTAAAACGTTAACCAAATTCAATTATTTGAAAGTTGTTGCACGATGCTCAGGTGTCATATAAGGCCCAAGGGCCTCTTGTATTGTTTTGTTTCAGTTTTGTTGTGTTTGTGTTTGGGTGTTTTTATTATATTATCGTCGCAAGTAAAAAATAATCATCCAAATACATGAGAGACTGAGTGGTGAATCTTATTTCCAGCGAACGCAGATAACATGATTGTACATATGAATATTTGTAGTGTATATTTTAGTATGAATATTTTGTGTAATTATTTATTGATAATACATCAACAATGTGTCTGTCAGTGTAAGTCAAGTGGTAAGCTAATATATACCTTCTTCAAATTATTACTTTGGTGTAGAATTTAAGTGATTTTCTCCAAAGTAATACGGTAGATTACAAATCACATGGAATTAAGATTTTTGCGGTGCATCCTTTTTATTATCTTAAAAGCTTAGATTTAATTTATCATGAGAACTGTATAAACTGAATCAAAAGCGTTTACTCTTCATGACCTGCAAAGTGCATTCTGAAATGTATTAAAACTGTTCATCCCAGCTTATATAAGTTAAATTTCGGAAGTAACAAATTCATTTTTTATACTTTATGTTTTAATATAATATATAAAATGTTCAAGTTTTTCATTCAATAAAAATGCCTTTTTAACCAGAATGAAATTATTTTCAATGCTATTCCGTCAGAAATAAGTTCCATAACAAATATTGTTTCTGAAGGATGCTTAATAAGACTGGACATAATTACATTCATTCTTACTTCTTCTAAGGAACGCTCCGAATCATGGAATCATACTTGCACAATGTAGATGTAAGGGATGGAGAAAAAGGTGTGGCCTCAAAATAGATTCCTCCCGCTGCTCTTGGGTTGGATGCATCCTGGAAGATGTCTATTGAACTAAAAGTAGTCCCTAAAGAGGTTTTAATCAAGACACAAACCAAATGCTATGAAACATACAGGGTGATAAATTATACTGGGATGTCACACTTGATAAAAAGCAGGGAATAAGAAAAGGAAATTTTAGAGAAATGCAATAATGAATCATGTATATGTAGCTTGCTTTCTGCCTTTGTGCCATGATGTTTTTTTTTAAACGCCCGGTAAATGTAAATTTTTTTATGCTGCAGTGAAGGATTTTTCTTTCTTAGCGGAGGATTCTTCCTTTATAATTTTCATCAAACATTAGAATGTCACAGGAAAAAAATGAAAGATTGAATGTTCATTTTACCGGATAAAAAAATGACGTGCACCTTCGACTGAATCTACCATTGGATCTTTGTCAAAGCACGAATCAAATCAATTTACCTTTTATTAAAAACCTTTAAGAAAACACTTTTTTATACATTTCTCTTGGCAGCTTATGAGAGAGAGAGAGAGAGAGAGAGAGAGAGAGAGAGAGAGAGAGAGAGAAAGTATCCTACCTCCTGAAATCTGTACTTTTTGAGTCATTGAATTTATTCTGTGAATGGTAAATTTATGGTCCACATGATTTTTTCCACGCAGAACGTTATCAATTACACAGAAAGGCAAAAAAAGATATTTATTTTCCCAATCCAAAGGGTTGCTTATGACAAGTAAATAAGAGATCTTCAAAAATTAATTTTGAATGAATACACAGTGTTTGGCAGATCGACACCGTACAAGAGTAAATATAAAATTGATGGTGCGCAGAAATTGACTTCTACAAGTAAGCATTCAATTCAAGTCAACAAAAGAAATAAGTCGATAACAACAGAACATGTATCATGTACAGTTATCTATATCAAAACAACTTGAAGCAAAAGTTAGAATTGAATAGCACAAAAGTTAATATGTAACGGACTCCACACAATCGTAAATATCCAATGTACTCCTCATAAAAGTAAATATGAAATGGACTGCACACAATTGTGAATATCAATTTTGACTCCTAGAGGAAGAAAATATGAAATGGACTACGCACAATCACAAATGCCCAGTTTATTCCTCAAAAACGTAAATAAGAAATGAACTGCACACGAACATGACTATCAATAGGACCTTTCATTAGAATAAAATTCAAATCAGCTGTACATCACGTCCACTGCATCATAAAAGCTGAAATTTATGAATTTTGCATAAAGAAAATGTTTAAACATCAGTGTAACGCAGTGGTGATTGATACGTGCATGTGTGTCAATTTTTCATTTTTCTAACAACAATATGCTTAGTACCGTTTTCCTGTATATATTTCACGTGACACATGCGCTTAATAGTTTGCTTGCCTATGAAAAGACTCTTAATATTTAGATAAATAAGTCTTTGTTTTAGTGTATTTAATTTCATCACAATTTTTTATTAGAAACAAAAAGAAAATAAACAATGATTCTTTTGGTTTGGGAGAGGTTTTTAGTCACAATGAAACCTTTTAGGATAACTATGTGATTTGACGTCATTTTGTTCCCAAAGTGTAAGTGTTCATAGGGTCAGCAATGTTTGCCAAATTATTGAAGAAGACGTTTGACTGAAATAACTTTGCCAACATTAAAACAATCATTCGAATTTGACCTCCAATGTTAATCCACTAAAAACTTATTTCACAGAAGTATTTCTTTTGAAAAGACCTTCTTCTTAATAACAATACTTTTGACTTCTGGGTTTAATTGTTTTTTACGAAACTGTCACCTTCATCAAAAGCTATAATGTCAGATAATGTCAAATGTAATTTGATATACAGGGGCATAATAGTTACACAATCACATCTTCATAATTATCAAACAATTTTTGCCGTTGTTTATGCGGCAATATATCTTCATCATCTGCATACGGAGTTTATATATTTATAAATTGTTTTGATACGCAACAGCATGCTCTATGCAAGATAATGAATGGTTCCTAAGACAAGGCTAATTATTCACAAACAATTTGATGAAGGATATGGAGATAACGAACAAATTTTAATCTCAAAGTCCATAAAACTATACAAAATAAGAGCAGAGCAAACGCAGACCCCGAAACATCATAGGAGGGATCAGGTGCCATGGAGGAGTTAACATCCCCTGCCAACCGGTCACACCCGCCGTGTGCTCCAGATCATGATCAGCAAATAACGGGAAAAATACGTCGTTGATTCAGTGTATCAATAATGGACTAACAACTGGTATGAAAAGCGTCAGTCAGCATTTGACTCAATGATTAATTGTATTTGCTGACAAGGTCATTGTATCGACCATAGAACTTATGAAATAATGACTGATGATATTCTTGTTTCGTCAACTTGCTTGTCAATAATTTACCTCATTTTGGAAATTGTTCATACGTAGAGCATGCTCTTGCGTATCGAATCAACTAAGATATATTTACCCGTATGCAGATAATGAAGGGTATACTGCGGCATAAGCTAGGGGAAGTTGACGATTGAAAAGTTAAAGTCATCGCGTTTATCATTTAGCTTGGTTGTTAGATTACCATTAGTGTCTTTTTCAATGTATTGTCAATTAACAGTGGTGATTTCCTTTCCTACGTCGATACGATATATACAGGAGAGCTTGAGATAGAAGATAACACAGAGTCTGACACATATATTTCATACTTCGATATTTTACTTGAAAAAGACGTTAATGGTTACCTTACAACCGTGCTGTATGATAAACGTGACGACTTTAACTTTTCTATTGTCAACTTCCCTTACTAAGTAACGTTTTTCATACTACCTGTAATTTTAGTCCATTATTTATGCACTAAATTGATGACGGATTTTTCGTTATTTCTCGATCATGACAGGAGCACACGGAGGAAGTGATCAGTCAGCAGGGGTTGCTCACTTCTCCATGGCACTTGATCCCACCTCTGATGTGTCGGAGGTCTGTGTTTGTTCTGCTCCTATTATGTTTTGTTTTGGGGACTTAGATATTTAATACTGTTCTTTTTCTCAATATCCTTCCTTGTGATCCCGATATTTATCCAAGTATCATTACAAATTGATTTTTAACACCATAAATTGGGTACTATGAATCACTTAATTTTTGCGAAAGATTGTTTTCGTGAGATAGTCATTGATTCTTTATTAGCGAGAAAAAAATTTCACGAATTGTGGTTACATGTATTGTTCCTGTATAATCTTTAGGAATTTTATTATACGCCAGAATTACACCACTGTCTTTCGTAATAAGTCGAAAAAGTTCTTTTGAATAAAACATGATTTACAGTATCATGTTACAACGTTAAAGTGTCACAGACCCCGATGAAGAATCAGCATAAAACGTTAAAGTCTGACTTAATTATTATAATTTAGCAGAATATATAATGTTGAAATATCATCATATTATGTTGTTCAAAGTATAATGATATAAAGTAAAAATATCAGCAAACAATGGAAAAGTAAAAACCATTTATATTAAAGTATCAGCATACTGGTAAACTGTAGTTTCAGTATAAAAATTTTATAATATTAAAGTATAAGCGTGTAACGAATATTATCCACGTCTTACAGTTTTTTTTAGCAAAATAAGGAAAAACTTTTGGCATATTGAACTTCAAAATTAACTTAGGCATGTTCAATTAAAAAAAAATTATGTGATTAATTATATACAAGCATTATAATAAAAACCCGAACGCAAAAATAGAAGTCAACAACAACAAATCAAAATCCAGGCATAAAATGTGAAATTCCTTTGAAAATACGATATAATTTCGTAAAACCTGAATTTACTATCGTTAATACTTTTATTCTTAGTAGGATAAATTGAAAAATAGTTTACTTTAGTATATTTTGTGAGAAATCATGAGAAATTATACAGTAAGATGTATTTTAGACAAATGATAAAGAACAAGGAAATATTTTCTCATAAGGAGAAAAGGAAGAGACACAGTGTTATCTCTATCAGTCGTGTCACAGTAAACATGTTTTTCAACCAGTGCGGGTTGTCATCCCCTTTTGTGTGCAATCGTCTTTTTTTGTGCCGTCGCATTGATGATTACTTTTATGTACAGTTGGTGATATCTACTTTTGTACGTCGTCGATGTGATATTTACCTTAGTGTTCTGTGACTTGATATTTACTTTTTTGTGTTCAACTGATGAGATATATACATTGTATGTGTATGTACAATCGACTGATATTCTCTATTTTGCCTTGTCAGCAATTTACTTTTGTGAGCAGTCGACGTTACATTTTATTTTGTGTGCCGACTTTTGATATACACTTTTGTGTGCAACCTCTGTGTCATTTTTTGTTAGTGTACAGTCGATTTGACTATTGTTTATGTATAAAATTGACTTGAGTTTTACGTTTATTGTTTCGTTGATGTACTTGAGCACCCCAGCTTTTCTAATCAGTTATCGATGAGACATTTCTATTTGTGTACAGTCGATTTGATACTGCGTTCTCTATGAATCAGATTTGTTACTATGGTTTATCTATCCGCTCCAGTTTGATATCTGATATGTTGAAAAGAAGCAAGAAGAAAAAGACACCAGAAACGTCGTAATAGGTGGGATATTTTTGTTTTCTCAATTCTTCACGTCAGGCTTTATGTTATAGGTAAAACAATAAAATATGAATTTACTACATTTTACATCTCACTCTCTGTTTAACAGTCTGCTTTATTGTGTTTCCTTCTGGAATGCCAAGACTCTGTATTAACGTTTATGTGCTGTTGATTTACTTTAATGTCCTGCCTTTGATTCATTTTTTTCAATGAAATATATCCATTTTCTGTGTAGTCCATTTGAGGTAGCTTTTTCTTCAAATCAGATTTGTAACTACGTCGTATGCCTTTGCTCCAGCTAGGTAACTGATATTTTCAAAAGAGAGAAAAAATATAAAACCTCGGAAAAAGTGAGAAATTTCAATTAAGGAGGGGGAAGATCTTCAAAAGAAACAAGAAGAATAGACCAAAAACTTCGTAAAAGGTGAGATGATTTCTGTTCTCTTAATTCTTCAAGACGGGGACGCCGCTATATGAAATACGTTAAACAGCAAATACAATAAACATTTAATGACCTGTACCTCTCGTTTTTTAATTAACAGTCTGGTTTCCTGTATCACCTTTCTTTCGTGAATAAGACTCGATGGTGGATCATATGGGGGTTGTTTCTTTAACAGAGGTAGGGATTACAATTTCAATGTTCCTAAATTGTCCATTAAAGCTACAAAATATTTCGGACCCCCTCGTTTAGACAAAGTACTTTCATACCATTTTTAAGGATGTCTGTAAAGCATAGTGTGATTTAACTGGCAGAAATGAATTGTTAAGAAAAAAGTATATGCATGAAAACGATTTGTTTTCATTTTAACATGTATTTACACACACACACACTCTCTCATTCTCTCTCTATCTCTCTCTCCTAAACACACAAATATTCCTCACATTTATCATTCAAGAAAAATTATTTTGAACTCTAACACTCGACATGCATATATTATTCTGTTCAACAATCTTTTTTTTGTCTCAATTATGCTATGAGAAAAACTCTGTGATAAATGCTACAGTACAGAAAGGTCCATAAATATAAGGGTTCCTATTTTGTTAATGTTAGAATGAGAAACCACTACCCTGAAATTTAAACAAAAAGGACTAGAAATTTAATTGATTTTATTCTTATTGTGTTTAATATATAAATGTAAATTCATGAATACAACACCATCCCTCCAAAACATGAATGTTTGTGTTTAAAAATGGAATTTCAAAACAAAACCCTGTGTTATTACATTAAAAAACAGCAATTAGATATTGAAAGAAATGAAAATGTTATTTATTATAAGTTGTAAAGGGTTATAATCGATTAATATCCGATTATACAAAGCCGATTATTACCGATAATCGATTCTTATATTTTTCCAATTCCCCATCAATTATCTATAATAGGTTGTAAACGAAGATACGCTTTTGTCGGCTTCAAAAAAGTCGCATATTAAACAGAGAAAACAACTCAAACCAGCCTTAAGGCACATAAACCCTCTGCTCACTCATATAATATGTTGCTTGAACCTTAATAATTTCCAAAAGAAATTTAATTTCTAAATATAATACAAACAATTATAGCATATCTTGCGAGGCAAAATTAGACAAAAAAAGACACTTCAACTTGACTTATCTATCAAGGAATAATTGAATTTATGTTATTAAGAGTTATCTCTCTTATCAGAGTATCAATGAACCTTAATATGCCGATGGAAATGTAACCCATACTATAGAT